GGGGGGGGGGGGGGGAATTCTGGGAGTTGAAGTCCACTCATCTTAAAGTGGCCAAGTTTGGACAACACAGCCTTACGGGAACATAAAATATGGTTCCCCTGTTTTCTAGGGTTATCTTGGTCTGACCTCCTGTTTTCTCTGGTTCCAGGTGGAATGTAAAAAAGCTCAGCCAAAGGAAGTGATGTCGCCCACTGGCTCCGCAAGGGGACGGTCCCGGGTGATGCCTTACGGGATGGACGCCTTCATGCTTGGCATCGGCATGCTGGGTAAGGGCTTGCCATCATGCACCACCCTCTTCTGGAAGAACCAGAGAACTGCAGGCCCGTTGCAGCAAAGGGACCACGGGCACTGTCCTCTGTGACTCCAGATTAAAGGTGGACACACGCCCCCTTTCTTACCTGAGGATGTAGAATTCCCTGGTGGTGGGGCAGGGGAGGGGACGGGGTGTTCTTATGGGGCCTCCTGATCTTCTTCTCTCTTTGAGAATAGGTTACCCGGGTTTCCAGGCGGCCACCTATACAAGCCGGAGCTACACCAGCATTGCACCTGGGTACACTTACCAGTTTCCCGGTATGTGCTCCTTCCTCTCAGTTTGTGTTGCTTCTGTTGTTCCAAGGGCGGATTCCTGTTGCGTGGCATCCTCTGACGGTCAAACGTGTCTCCCATTCTTTGCAAATTGTCCTTTTTCCCTCAGTGGGGGATGTGAAATGCATCCCCAGAAGCTGAGGTGAAGCAGGAAAGGAGTTGTATTTTACTTTTTTCAGGTTCAGGTTGAATTCACAGAGTCCTAGAGCTGGAGCAGAGGTCATCTAGTTCAGTGTTTCTCAACTGGCTGCGGCAGTGTTTCTCGCGTGCTGGCTGGGGAATTCTGGAAATTGAAGTCCACACATCTTAAGGCGGCTGAGGTTGAGAAACACTGATCTAATTTAATCCCCTGCTTGCTGCAAGATTTACTAAAGCAGTTTGATGGTGGCTTTCCTTTACTTAATTGCTGCCTTCAGACTTGTTCAAAAGCGCCCTCTTTCTGAGCTTCTCCTGCCCTTCTATGGCTGCTTATACCCCCAGAAGCATCTTTTCCCAGAGTCACTGCCTTTCCGAAAACAGAATACCTAGCAAGCATTTTAACCAAGCTTGAAAAGCCAGAATTGTGAGAGGAAGTCTGGCAGGACCCAGACCTTCTGAATAAACTGCAGACTGGGAAGCACTCTATGTGCGTCCTTTTGCCCACAATTTTCTCTAAAGTGTGCATTTTTGCATGCATATTTTTAAAGGTCAGGGAATATCCCTAATGTCTGCATTTTGCGTGCATTTCTGAACAAAGAAAAGTGTGAAAGCCAAGGGAGAATGATGTTCTGGTTTGCATATTAATTTCTCTCTGAATGAAATCCATGTCCCGCCTTCTCCCAGCCTTAAATTCAGTTTGATGCATGAGTACATTCGTAGACCAGTAGTTTTCACTTGCATGGAGCATCATGAGGAGCTGGTGAGGTGGGCCTTTGGGTTCCCCTTCCACAGGTCTGGCAAAAGCTGGCGGTGGCGCCTGATTCTTTCAGCAGTGCCACCTTGGAAGCTGCCATGGGGTTCTTTTTCCAGCTGTTTTCAGGGCAGGCAGTCCCTCTGAGGGTTTCCATTTCGTGGCCCGCCAACATTTCCTGTGTTTGCCTTCGCATTTCTTCCTGTTCTCCTCCACCCTTCCCTCCACCGGCTCCTCTGTCTCAGGATGGGCCTGATGGAGCATCCTAAGTTGTCTTGCCTTTCCTTTTTAGAATTCCGGGTAGAGCGGACCCCCCTCCCGAGTGCCCCTGTCCTCCCCGAGCTCACAGGTCAGTCCACGGTTTTCTCCTTGCAACAGCTGGAAGGGAAGGCGGGTGGGGTGTGGTTTCACTGCCTTGTGGCTTCGGAGGCTGGGGGTTCCTGGTCGGCAGGCGTGTGGTGATCTTGTTTCCCCTGGCTTTTGCATCAGGATGGGGTTCTGGGGAGTCGCGAAACTGCTGATACAGAGGAATGGATGCGTGCTTGGACGTTTCTTGCCCACCTTGCAATGGCTCCCTACTTAGGGGGAAAAAACTGTTATCACACCCTTCCTTAAAAGGAGGAACCTGAGTTCTCCATCTCAAAACCATTCACTGTTTTCTGCTCTTCGCCCTCTGTTGAAACCGCTGATGAGTGCTTGCTGATTGCGCCACTGGGTAGCTGTGTTGCCTATGGGGTCATACTTCCAATGGCAGAACACGTAGTTCTGCACATGAGGGCCTCATCCTGGAAGCCCATGGCAAGCAAAAGGATCAGGAAAGGACGGTGACTCTCCAGACGTGGCTGTTGTAGGAGGAGAGCCAGATAAGTCTGTGATGGCAAAAAATCAGGAGTCTGGTAGCATCTTCTCCAGTTAACACATTTGATGAAAAGGCATAAGTTTCTTTATCGAGTTTGTTATCAGATGTGGCTAGGAATTCTGGGAATTGCGGCCCCAATAGATCTGGAAGGTCCCTGGTTATCCAACTTCTCCATCAGAGGATTGTGAAAAACATTTTGTTCTGAACCATTTTGAACGTGAAACTTTACAAAACTTCCTGCTTTGAGTGCGAAACAGTCTGTTTTGAGTATTCTGAAGGTGTTTTGAACTTGGAATAGCCCTGTCTCCCCCTGTGTTCTGAGCTCCAAACACTTACCAGCATGCTCAAACTGCCCATTTTGCACTCAAACAGCATTTCGGAGGTTGCACAAAGCTCCATGTTTGAACTGGTTGCGCTCCCCTCATCCGCAGGTGTGTATTTCATGGGCTGCATTTCAAGTGGAAATGCATTTGAAATGCATTTCAAGTGGAAAAGATGAGAAAAGTGAAATGCATGCTGCATTTCAAGTGGAAAAGAGGAATTTGTTATTTTCAAAATTGACTGTGTGAGATCCAGCCCAAACATCTGGTAGTGAGAAGCCAAGATACGGTGGCAACCTTTTCTTTGTCACTTCTCCCTTAGCAACTGGCCTTGAAAGGGAAACATTCTCTTTTTTCTGAGTGATCTGAGCTCATGACTCTCTTCCGTCCTGGGGTAGCAAACGCCAGAGTCTTACAGACTGAAGAAGGAGGCTTCTTATTCTGCCCTAAAAAGCTGTCTCTTGGCCTTGACAGGGTGACCTCGAGTCTGTGTTGCTGGGGGCGAGAGGTCTCTTGGCCAGATCCCCACGCTCCTTCTGGCTTTACAGCCCTGTCACATCTGCAGCAAGGCTTATCACCCGAATAGATAACCAGAACCCTGTTAAGTAAAGGTCTTGAGAAGCTTTTGCTAAGTAACTGTATTAAAAGGCTGGAGCCCCTGATCAAAAATTCCACAAAACGTGAGCCCCTTGCAGTTTTATCACAGCAGGAAGAATCCCAGCTGTACCCGATTGGTAGCCTATCCGACCTGAAATCTGTAGCAAAGAAGAGCCAGAACATGTTCTCCACAGTTAGGGTCCCTCACCCAGTTTGGAATTTCATGTCCAGACTAAGCTCCTGGCCAGTCATGAAACATCCATTGACTGGAAGGCAAAATAGTAAGTTCACTATATCCTCCCAGGACTTCTTCTCTGACATTTGCATCTTCTGTCTGTCTGTCTGCTGAACAGACGGGCATTCTTCCAAAGCCCCATTTGGTATTTTCTGGAAATACCTATTGGACCCAGTGGCATTGAGGGAAGGGTGATCCAAGGGGCAGTAGAGAGTTTAGGGGTTTTCAGGATGATGTCAGATCATGTGTGCCAGTTTCTCCTGAGGTCCAACAGCTGACTTGTCCAGAGATGGTTTCAGGATTCTGTGTCTTCTGCCAGTGACTCTCGCCAGCTGCTCTGCCCAGACAAACAAACTGGAGGCAATTGCTAGGAGAGATTCAGGAATCCTAAAACACCCCTGAGCAAGCAGCTGTTAGGGAGACCCATGGAGGGCCAGCGTGCAGGACTGGATGCGCTCTCAGCAGCACATAAACCATGGTCCATCTATTTTCCAAGTGGCCTCTTCATTAAGTAGCATCTGCCATTTTCAGCATACTGGAATTGAGGGCAGGAATTTTGTTCAGCTTTTAATTGTATATGTTTATATCCAAATTTTCTTCTGCTTGTGGAACTGAAACAGGCTAGGGACAAGCCATTCATAATGATTTAAAAGTAGCATTGAGCATTAGAACAGAATGTAAACACTACTGCATAATATCTGCTGTGTTTAGAACGGGAGCACGAGGTACGCACCTTACTTCTGAGGGAAATAGGAGGTTGTGAAACACTATTGTGAGGCCAGATTTCAATATCTGTGAATATGCTCAGGTTGCTGAGTGTATTTTTGTTGCTGCTCAATAAGAACCAATTCTTGAGTGAAGCAGAAATCAGGGATTGAGACCCACTCCACACTACCTTCTCCTTGGCCCTTTTCCAAACAGCCTCACAGCTGTCTTGTGGGAGAATCCAACCCCAGTCAACATCAGATCCTTGCTAACATATTTCACCATGCTGATAAAAAAAAACTCTCAGTCTGATTCGCCAGCTAGATCCCATAAGTGAAATGGATTGATGCCCACTGTCACCTGCCTCAAACAGAAGCCCCAATTATGTAAAAGAATAGTTATCAAAAGAGTTTTAGGAGGTTGGCTGGGATGTGGGTTACATATTCCGTGAGTGAGGCAGTCATCACACTGATGGGGTGTGACGGTTGTGTAGGTTTGCCTTCCATGCAGCTGGAAAAGTGATCTAAGAACAGTGGAAAGAATAGGGCACCCCTCAGATTTTCTGAAGCCAGGATGGCACGAAAGAACTTGACTGCTTCCTGCCTATGCCAGCATTATCTGATATGGTCATTTGACTAATCAATAAACAATAAACTAAGGAGCCCAGGCACTGAAGTCAAGAACCACTTAAGGCTTCAATCCTTCAATCCTTCAATCCTTCAATCCTTCAATCCTTCAATCCTTCAATCCTTCAATCCTTCAATCCTTCAATCCTTCAATCCTTCAATCCTTCAATCCTTC